TTTTTTTTTTCTTTTGCACACAAAAAGTATTCTCGTAGCTTCATATAATTGCGGATGAACCACTGATGTCACATGGATTTTTTTACAGATCTCCTTGCTACAGTTGCGTTGCTGTCTATGCAGGGTCAGACAGCTCTCAGATTCCATCAAAAATATCTTAATTTGTGTTCCGAAGATGAACGAAGGTCTTACGGGTTTGAAACGACATGAGGGTGAGTAATTAATGACAGAATTTTCATTTTTGGGTGAACTAACCCTTTAACCATTAAGGTTGTTGATTAGGAATTCTCACCATTAGTCTTTTGCAAAATTTTTGCAATACTCCTTATCCATTATCCAGTCGAACCCAAATAGAAAGTGACAGTTATTTTGCTGATTATGAACAGATTGTGTATTTGGGATCTCGGATTGGGATCGTGGCCAAGAGTAGCAAGTTGTTCAGCATCTACACACCACCCCTCCTCATTGTCCAGAGGGTTTGTCTTTAGCACCGTATTACAGTATATATATATATATATATATATATAGTGATGGAGAGGATTTGCTCCAGATTAGATGCCACCTGCTCTGAGAGATGATTGTTGAACATCATGCCAGAAGCTGTAGCCTGCTGAAATGATTGATAAGTACCCACTGAGAATGGACTCATTACATCCCAGCCTCACTAATGAGCTTCCTCTTCCTACAACTGCAAACACGCATCTGATGCTGCCTGAATGGGCTCCAGTTGTTGGCAGCTTTTGGGAGAACTATAAAAAGCAATGGGCATTAGAATAATGGCCCAGCCGTCTGTAACCATTTTGTTTGCACAATGACCAAATTGTCCAGAAGGATGCAAGACATGTGCTGTAATTCCAGCGGCTGTCACGGTCCAAAAATGGACAAAAAGAACATCAAAGGGGATCTTATGACTCTTGCACTCTATTCCAAGTCTTCAGAAACCATGCATTCGATTTGTATGAGGAACAAGCTGAAAATAGCTCCAGTGGAGCTCTGAAATCCCATTCACATGTCATTACCGATGTCAATTTGGTGCCATTGGTTCTCACGTGTCTCATGACCAGTTGTGACATGCAAGTTTGAATGGATGCAAATGTGATTGAGTGAATGATGGGGACGTTTTTTGTGAAAAATGACTAACAAAATTTGTGCATTAATACACCGAAAAGACTATAGCCAACTGGCACATATGTTCTGCACCTGCGTGAGAGGAAAAAGCTCCATACCAGCAGGTGGCAGTAGTCTGTATTTGTCATTCAAAAATGGAAACTGGAAGATCTATTACTGTAAATATACAAACACTTTGCTTTATAAATTTTACACCAATCTCGCTCATCAAAGACAGATTTGATGAAAATCATCACACATGAGATGAAGATAAAAAATAGAAGAGACTTCATTGTGAGCCCTATTAACTTTTTGCTAGCTTTTATCTCTTCTGTTTTTTTATCTTCTTGTTTCCTGATTCGCTAAGTTAAACAGCCAATCAGAGTGATCTCCCTCACTAACAGGCTCCAGCAATGATTTAACATACTTAATTGGTTCCAAAGCCCCTGACGGCAGTCTGACTAATACGAAACGCACCATAAAAACTAGTCTGACTTACAATGAATGCTCATACTTACTTAGACTTTATATTTTTCTCTGTTCCTCATGCAAAGCTATTGTAGATGCCTCAAAACTTACAGAGCACAAGTTGTCAGTAGATTTTGACACATCAAGATAATTAGTGTTCGGATTGCCTCAGAAACGTGTGGGACATCATTTCTAGACCCGAGTTTAGGAGGTGTGAAGCCAGCAGCCACGCTAGGGGGATCAAACTCTCCTCATGTATCAAATTGCCAACAAATGTAAAACTCAACGGTTCAACCCAAGCCCACATTTCTGTGGTGTCTGGTCCCATTCGGGGGCCAGCCATATATGGAAGCCTATTTCCAATGTCACGGCCGGCGTAATTCGTTCACCACGTGCACATGTCCATCAGTGTAATCGGCCCCTGTGGAGTGGTGAGGGGGAGTTCACGCCAGGCCGCCGCTGTGGCGCAGGCATGCCGCTTGGTCCCGGGTGCCGTGGAATAGGATCAGCAGTGCAGACATTGTTTCGTAGCACTGGAGCCCGAATGTTGTAATTATATCTCTGCTACAAATCACCCGTGGAATACGGTGGCTTTGTGCAGCTCTGAATGCTGTATTAAGGGCATGAGATTCTCTTACAGTATGTTTGTTTTGCTTTACTGTATTTGCTGCAAATGGTCTTAGCAGTGCACCGTGACGCAACCGTGACAATGTGTGGTATTACAGGCAGTCTATTTGTTAATGGCTGGTTTTGTTAGTTTACTCTGTGTGTGTGGTCAACAGTGATGATACGATAACGTTTTTTTTTCCCTTGACAGAACGTTCCCTTCCTATTTTGTTTGACTTATAAAATCAGTTATTGTTGAAACAGTAACAGCTACTCCACAGTCATAAGTGCTAAGGCAATTTTTTCTAATGATATGTTTTTTGTTTTTATAAAAAAACTATGATTTTTATTAATACATTGTTCACTCAGTTACACAGAGTGTAAGGAAAATATGCCATTACTTTTTACTTCATGGTTATGCCACCTGACATTTTACATCTTGAACTTGGCAGATGCTTTTATCGAAATAATTTTGAGAGTTTTGACACTTTCAAAACTGCATGAAACCAACATGAATACAAAGTTAAAATTCTAAGAATTTGGCATGTGTTTAAACTAGGTTTTCCTTTGGAAATCATGGAAGCTATTTCTTGTCATTTACTTATCAATCACTTTATGTGACCTATAGTGTCAATGTAATTCTCTGCTTCTGCTTATATTTTAATAGCATTGTTTCCTTTTTGTTCCAGGTCAAAGTTATGATTCGGATCTGTCCATCTCTGGGGATTGTGGATTCATCCGAGTCCATGTCCTTCCTGAAGGTGGACACTCGTAAGAAACAGCTGACCCTCTACGATCCCTCACTCAACACACAGCCCACCTCAGTGCATAGACGAGCAGTGCTGCCCGCCCCAAAGATGTTTGCCTTCGACGCTGTTTTTTCCCAAGATGCCTCTCAAGTAAGAGCCGCTGTGAAGATGTTATCATTTTGTTGCCATTTGCTTTTGAGTTTTGAAGTGAAAATATTTTGTTAGTGTCAAAAAGATATTTGAGAAGCACACGCACACATTCTTTGCAGGGCAAGGGGCTTAATGTAAAAAGGCCTGTTTTGGGATACCATCTTTCTGCAAAGTATGAGCCCAACAGCTGTATCTTTAAGTATAGAAAATAGTTTGAATTCCAGACTCGCATATCTAGCAGCTTATTCACAGTTCATTATCTGTCCTCCAAAGCTGCAGCGGCATCCATCTTAAGATAAGTGGCTAACAAATGGACACAAATAGGGAAGAGGAACTTTAGGAGACACACAAACTTGAAGATGATTAAGTGTGAAGAATTTAGATGTGACATAAAGCCACTTAAGGTTGTCATCTTGAAGTACTGAAGCCAGATATTGTAAGTTCTGCTTCAAAATATGTCAAGCAAAGACAGACAGGGACATTTTGGTGTCTTCTAAGATACCATAGATCTAAGATACATAATTTTGGGCAAATTTTAACGCCAAAAGTATGCTTCAGTTTTGACATAAATGCTTAGCGTATGTATACATCCGAATTCATGTGCATGAACGCAGGTCATTAGAAAGTTGTAACCATGTCCAGTGTCAGTGCTGTTTATCTCCAGAAGTTATGAGTTCCCTTAATTCCCTCACACTAACATTTGTCAACACAGGCATCTATAATTGTCTTCAGTAGTTTGTTGTTATGAAAAAATCTGGCTGTACGGCTTGAGTACGTGCTTACTATGCTCATTTTGGTCATACGACATTAGTATACATGTAAAAAACGAGTGGTGGCAGTGTTATGAGAAATTTTGATTATCAATACATTTCCTTCTGTACCAAAACATAGATAAAATACTTAAGTCTAATTAAACATTCTAGTTTACCTAATATTTGTGTTAACTATATGTATATGCTTATTGAAGTGTCATGTTGTTAGCTTAGCAATGTGCTAACAACAAACTCTATTACAATATATTAGAGTTGCTGCCTATGAGTAACATTCCAAAATATTCACTTTTGAGGTTCCATTTCAGTTTGGATGCTACTTTAAAAAATGTTGACATTGGACAGCAAAGCCATTTTCTTTTGCTAAGGAACTGAACTGTAATATCATTTTTAGTTAAAGAACTCACATGCACAAGACAAGATCTATGGAGCTTATCGATTAAGAGTTCCTTTACTCACGGCCAGCAGAAGGCTTTGAGGTCTCGGTTCTCAGTGCCAGTGAAGTCATGTAACTGTAAATCCTCCAAATCTACTGTGTTTGTGGTTTAGTGAGACTGCAGGGACATATTCACTGAGCTGTTGTTCCGTTTTTGTGTGTGTGTGTGTGCGTGTGTGTTATGATGTATGGGAGGAAATTGCTGCAAATTGTCTCCAGGGACTGAGGCTAGTGGAACAGATTGTAGAGTTATGGCTGCACAGTGCAGCCGGTGTAAAGGCCCCCATGTCTGATGAATCTGTGATGAGGATCTGCCTTGTTTGTGCTTTCTGTAGTTTTCTTTTGCTAGTGAATAAATGATCTCCGGATCAAAGAAAAGATTAGCTACTTTCTACTGTGCCTTAAACAGCCAATCAGAGAGATCTCCCTAACTATAACAGGCTCCAGCAATGATTTAACATACTTAATTGGTTCCAAAGCCCCTGACGGCAGTCTGACTAATACGAAACGCACCATAAAAACTAGTCTGACTTACAATGAATGCTCATACTTACTTAGACTTTATATTTTTCTCTGTTCCTCATGCAAAGCTATTGTAGATGCCTCAAAACTTACAGAGCACAAGTTGTCAGTAGATTTTGACACATCAAGATAATTAGTGTTCGGATTGCCTCAGAAACGTGTGGGACATCATTTCTAGACCCGAGTTTAGGAGGTGTGAAGCCAGCAGCCACGCTAGGGGGATCAAACTCTCCTCATGTATCAAATTGCCAACAAATGTAAAACTCAACGGTTCAACCCAAGCCCACATTTCTGTGGTGTCTGGTCCCATTCGGGGGCCAGCCATATATGGAAGCCTATTTCCAATGTCACGGCCGGCGTAATTCGTTCACCACGTGCACATGTCCATCAGTGTAATCGGCCCCTGTGGAGTGGTGAGGGGGAGTTCACGCCAGGCCGCCGCTGTGGCGCAGGCATGCCGCTTGGTCCCGGGTGCCGTGGAATAGGATCAGCAGTGCAGACATTGTTTCGTAGCACTGGAGCCCGAATGTTGTAATTATATCTCTGCTACAAATCACCCGTGGAATACGGTGGCTTTGTGCAGCTCTGAATGCTGTATTAAGGGCATGAGATTCTCTTACAGTATGTTTGTTTTGCTTTACTGTATTTGCTGCAAATGGTCTTAGCAGTGCACCGTGACGCAACCGTGACAATGTGTGGTATTACAGGCAGTCTATTTGTTAATGGCTGGTTTTGTTAGTTTACTCTGTGTGTGTGGTCAACAGTGATGATACGATAACGTTTTTTTTTCCCTTGACAGAACGTTCCCTTCCTATTTTGTTTGACTTATAAAATCAGTTATTGTTGAAACAGTAACAGCTACTCCAGTCAAAAGGCATTTTTTTTAATATACAGGTTTAATGATATAATCTTTTTCTTTCTTTCTTTCTTTCTTTCTTTCTTTCTTTCTGGCCTATTATGTATTTTTTTTTTTTATACATCAAAAATACAAGTCATATGGACAATGGCTTAAATACACCTCTTCTGTGATTAGCATGTTTTACATTTCTGAATTAAAATTAATTCTATTATTTTTTTGGGGAAATAACAGATTAATACAACTGTCCTGATAACATATTGAAGGAGGAGGGAAAATGAATACAAGTGAATATCTTAAAAAGAAAACGTTTGAATTTCGGTATAATTTTATTACTTTATTATACGTTTTGGGGGGGAAAATGTTTATTAATATTTGGAATACTTTTCCCTCAAGTCAAAGTCATGTAGTGAAACCAACATTTGTGGGGAAAAAACATGAAATGTCGAAATATTTTGACCTTTTTATAACAAGGTTATGTTAGTTCAGGTTGTAAAATGTCATGTGGTATGACTTACCAAAAATAATGTTTTTTTATCAATTATTAATACATTGTTCACTTACATGGTTACACAAGGTATAAGGAAAATATGTCATTAATGTCCACTTCATGGTTACACCAAATGACATTTTACATTACATTTACATGTATAAATTTGGCAGATGCATTATAAAAATAATTTTGAGAGTTGTGGCTCACAAAACTATATGAAACCAACATGAATGCAAAGATTACATTCCAAGAATTCGGCATGTGTTTTAAACTGTTTTCCCTCTGGAATCATGTAAACTCTTTCTTGTCATCGACTTATCAATCACTTTATGTCACCTACAATGTTATATTACAGTGTCAATGGAATTATCTGCTTCTGTTTCTGCTTCAATAGCATTTTTTTCTTTTTGTTCCAGGTCAAAGTGATGATGCGGATCTGTCCATCACTGGGGATTGTGGATTCATCCGAGTCCCTGTCCTTCCTGAAGGTGGACACTCGTAAGAAACAACTGACCCTCTACGATCCCTCACTCAACACACAGCCCACCTCAGTGCATAGACGAGCAGTGCTGCCTGCCCCAAAGATGTTTGCCTTTGACACTGTTTTTTCCCAAGATGCCTCTCAAGTAAGAGCCGCTGTGAAGATGTTATCATTTTGTTGGCATTTGCTTTTGAGGTTTGAAGTGAAAATATTTTGTTAGTGTCAAAAAGATATTTGAGAAGCACACGCACACATTCTTTGCAGGGCAAGGGGCTTAATGTAAAAAGGCCTGTTTTGGGACACCACCGTTCTTCAAAGTATGAGCCCAACAGCTGTTTCTTTAAGTATAGAAAATAGTTTGAATTCCAGACTCGCATATTTAGCAGCTCATTCACAGTTCATTATCTGTCCTCCAAAGCTGCAGCGGCATCCATCTTAAGATAAGTGGCTAACAAATGGACACAAATAGGGAAGAGGAACTTTAGGAGACTGAGAAACTTGAAGATGATTAAGTGTAAACAATTTAGATATGCCACTTCAAGAGTAATAAGGTTGTCACTTGAAGTACTTATGTAAAGAACCATAAGAAAAGCCAGATATTGTGGCCTGGTTTCACAGACAGGGTTTAGACTAAGCCAGGATTAGGCCATAGTCCAGTTAGGACATTTAAGTAATTTTACAAACGTGCCTTAGAAAAAAACATTACTGGTGTGCATCTTGAGACAAAACAAAGGCACTGATATATTTTAAGTTCAATCAGTGCAAGCTTCTTTCAGTTGAAACAGCCCAGATTTACGTTTTAGTCTGGGACTAGGCTTAAGCCTTGTCTGTGAAACCGGGGCTGTAAGTTTCTGCTTCAAAATATGTCATAAGCAAAGATAGGCAGGGACATTGTGGTGTCTCCTAAGATACCATAGGTCTTAGATACATAATTTTGGCCAAATTTTAAAAGCCCAAAAGTATACATCCTAATTCACAACCAATCAAATATACTTCATTTGACATTATGACATTTGACATTATTGACAAAAAGTTTCAGCCTTGTCCAAGTTATGACTGATAAAATGTCTTTGTACTCTAGTTGCAAGTATCTCTTAATTCCCCTCACACAACCCTTCTGAATATTAACCATGGTTTTACTACAAATAAAACCAAAGAGCCATAGTTAAACCATGATAAACACAAATAAACCATGGTAAACACAAATTACCCATGGTTGTGCTACATTAACCATAGTTTAACCATGGTTTTTGTAGTAAAACTGTGGTTATACAAATGGTCAATAAGTCAAAAAACATGGTTACTACACTTTTACTACAATAAAACAATGGTTAATTTTTGTAAAGGGAAACGTTTGTCAACACTGGCATCTTTGTTGTTATTGGAATATCTGGCTGTACGGCTCTTAATATACTAGTTTTGGTCATCTGAAATTTGTGTACGTGGGAAAACAAAGTATGCATTGGGGTTAAGGTATGTTCTGTGACAAGTATAGTAAAAAAAAAAAAAAGTGGTTCAGATGTGAAGAGAAATGTTGATTGTCAGTATTTCATTCTGTACCCAAAAACATTGATAAAAATAGTTCAATCTAATTAAACAATTACTATTTTACACAATCGCCTATTTGTGTTAGCTATATGCTTAATGAAGTATCATGTTGTTAGCTTAGCTTAACATGCTAACAACAAACACTGTTATATAAACTATTTGAGTTGCTGCCTATAATGTTCCAAATCATTCACTTTTGAGGCTGCATTTTCAGCTGCATGCAGCTCCATATGTGGACAGTGGACAGCAAAGCCATTTACTTTGCTTAGGAACCGAACTGTAATATAATTTTCAGTTGAAGAACTTGCATGCACAAGACAAGATCTATGGAGCTTATCGATTAGGAGTTCCTTTACTCATGGCCAGCAGAAGGCTTTTAGGTCTCAGTGCTCAGTGCCAGTGAATTGATGTAACTGTAAAACCTCCAAATCTACTGTGTGTGTGGGACTGCAGGGACATATTTCTTAGCAAAGCACTGAGCTGTTGTTCTGTTTTTTTGTAAGAATGTGTGTGTGTTATGATGTATGGGAGGAAATTGCTGCAGTCCCAAATTGTCTCCAGGGACTGGGGCTAGTGGAACAGATTGTAGCATTATGGCCACACAGTGCAGCCGGTGTAAAACCCCCATGTCTGATGAATCTGTGATGAGGATCTGCCTTGATGGTGCTTTCTGTGGTTTTCTTTTGCTAGTGAATAAATCAATGATCACCGGATCAAAGAAAAGATTAGGTACTGTCTACTTTGCCAAAAAAGATTTGGTTACATTTCACAGCTAAACTGAATGTTAAAAATGAATAAAAATCTTATTAAGACTCTGGTGTGCACAGTTGTTTAGACTTTGAAAGAAAAAAAAAATGTTTTCCTCAGTACAGAATAGTGCCCTTTAAAAACGTAAATATACTTTATTTACATACTGTATTGGGAACTGCAACATAGTACATTTTAAAAGCATCTTGGATGTCTACATGGTTTTTGCTTTTATAGCATATATGTTTATATATACAGTGCCTTGCGAAAATATTCATACCCCTTCATTTTTTTCACATTTTGTTAAGTTTTGCTAAACTGCTTTAAATTGCTGGAAGAAGTTTGAAACAACCAGGACTCTTCCTAGAGCTGGCCTCCTGGCTGAACTGAGCAATTGATGGAGAAAGGTCTTGGTTAGAGTGGTGACCAAGAAGCGGATGGTCACTCTAGTTGAGCTCCATGATCATATATGCAGATGGGAGAAATCTATAGAAGGACAAATATCACTGCAACACTCTAAAGTTGTGACAATTCTGTTTTTGCTTTGTCAGTATGGTGTATGGAGTGTAGATTGATGTGGAAAAAAGTAATTTAAAGCAGTTTAACATAAGGCAGCAACATAACAAAATGTGAAAAAATTAATGCAAGGCACTGTAAATATATGTATGTATAAGTATTTTGTACCCCATTGACTTTATTCATATAGCTGACTTGCTATAATGCTTGTGTTAACTTATTATAATACCAGACAAGCTATGAGTATTTTATTGTTTTCCACAGGCTGAAGTTTGCTCAGGGACAGTGGCTGAAGTTATTCAATCAGTGGTTAATGGAGCCGATGGATGTATTTTCTGCTTTGGTCATGTCAAAGTTGGTAAGTTATCCTTAATACTTTGCAGTTAACTGAATATGACACCCACTGATCTTGTTCCACAGTTTGCAAAGACACTTTGATGTCTAATATCAATACCGAAGGTAAAAAAAAAGTGCTTTTGCTTTTCAGAATGGACATGAGTGGGGCATTTAATTGTGTGTGTGCCTGTATGAGAGACCAGAGGCTAGATAGTGTAATTAAAAGCTGACTAATTGACCCTCACAGTAGACTGCATCAGAGTTCTGCACTATTGCCAATTATGCCTGTTAGATGTTGCGATGGTTTCCTGCATCATTTACTACATGCGGTCTAAACGTTTAAGCATTATTTATGACTCTTTTAAAGCCAGACTGTCCATATGGAACCGTATTCATCACTAGTTTTTTATTTGTATAATTGATGCTCTAAACCATGGCGTTTCTTTAACTTCTCTAATGTGACGTATAAAACTGAATATTTAAAGGGAAATAAAGCTGGGATTTTCCTGTATCTGAGATACAATTTTATTGTGAACATAAACACATTCCACATATTAATTATTTACATTTTAACATAACCACTTATTATTTTACCCTTCCATGCAGCCTTTGTTATGTTGAAAGGAAAACAAACTTTATTCTTTTATAATGAAGAATAAAATTACACTCCAAACGAGATGCGATTCAGTAAGATCTCAATGGTAAACAATTTGTCTGTTCACAGTGAATGCAAAAATGCTGTGCAACGGAATGCAGTCACAGCCAGTTGTATTTAATTGCTGTATGAAGCTTGATTTTGGACTGATGGGATTTGTGGGTAGGGCTAACCCGTATGATGCAGCAGAAATAGAGACCAAGCTGTTGACAAAATGCATGTCTCGTGTCATTCACAATTGGCGTAAGAAGGACGTCTCTCGACTCATTCTCCCATTGCCGACTCTGTTTTACCATGCCCCCTTGCCAAATCATCTGTAAGGGTACAGTGAAAACTGCAAAATCTGAAATTAAAAAAAAATTTAAAAAATTCTGAATTCAGACTTAAGGTCTTTGCACACTGAGTCCGAAATTCTCATCTGAAATTTTCGCACGTTAAAAAATAAATATGACCTCACATTTTGTTAATCACGTTTACACTCTGCCTCCGAAACTTTCGTCCGTCATAAAAAAAATTCAGATCAGGTTCGATTTTCTGCGTTTTCGCATCCGTAGCAAGCATTTTGATAGGAAAGGATTACAAATACGAAAAAAAAAATGCATATGAACATTTCGGACTCCGTGTGCAAAGACCTTGAGTCAGCAGTTTAAAACTGTCATCAGATGCTATTCAAGTACTAATAATGTGTTATGATTGGTGGTTTATTATCCAAGGGGGATATTTCATCAAATCAGTGATAGAAATACCAGTGCTTAAAACACTTGCTCATTGAGCGCTCATCATCTTCATCACCTTGCCAGAATCAACAGCTTTCTCTCTTGTCTGTCTCTCACCAGGCAAGACATACACTATGATTGGCATGGACAGCTCCACGCAGAGCCTTGGCATTGCGCCCTGTGCCATCTCCTGGCTGTTCAAGCTCATCAATGAGCGCAAGGAGAAGACTGGCACGCGCTTCTCGGTACGGGTGTCAGCCGTGGAAATCTACGGCAAGGACGAGAGCCTGCAGGACCTGCTTTCTGATGTGCCCACAGGAAGTCTGCAGGACGGCCAGTCGCCTGGGGTTTACCTGCGTGAGGACCCCATCTGCGGCACACAGGTCAGGAACACGCCACCTAGACGTCAAATTTAGCTTCTTTTTCCTGATAAAGCCCTCCCAGTCTTGCTTGTCATGTAGTTACCAAGTGTGCCGCACCAAAATATTTTGATCACTTCCTTGGAGTATAGGTCAGAAACCCTGCCCCTTCTTCATGTAAACGAATTGGACATGAGCCAACCAAAAAGAATAGTAAAAAATAGGTTTGGTTTTCAGTTAGTAATTTGATGTTTGATAAAAATGGGGAGTCATGTCACGAAGACGCACCGTCCATCTTATTTTACAGTTCATGGTCGTAACATACACTTTAAAAAGTGAAAATGAACAGTTATTGCTAAGTTAAGGCTTTTCAGTGATTGATGTTATATTATTATTTTTTTTCAAATATGTTTTATATCGCAAAATTTAGTTTGTAGAATCTCTTAGTTTATACAGATTGTGATTGTGAGGTGATGTTCCATCTTTATTTGACCCTCTAACTCTAGCACTTTCTATTCTATTTTAATTCTACTTTATCTATTTATCTTCTTTTTTATAAAAAAAACACTAGCTTTCTATTTTTTCTATTCTATCTACTTGTTTTTCTTTGTGTGTGTGTGTGTGTGCGTGTGTGTATACTGTATATATATATATGAATTAAAAATAAGTTTTATTTAAATTATAACATTTGACAATATAAATATATATTTTATATTATATAATTTTGTTATTTTACAACATATATAAAAATATAAAACACAAAATATATTCAATATTCTAGTTTGGGGTCATATTAAGCAAGGATACAATAAATTAATGTTTAATATATTTCTATTGTAAGACAGTAGAGAGTCAGAGAGAGAAGGGGGAATGGGATCAAAATTCACTATCTAGAAATGCCTAGGTCACATCTCTGTTGATCATTGTATCATATTTGTTCTATCAGTTAAGTAGTTTTCATAGATTTTAGCGACCCCTCACTTAACAGTAGAAGTTATTGCAGAATACTTTTAGCTGAGTTTAGTCACTAAATCTCAAATTAAAGGCCAGATGTAGTGGTGGTTCTTTTTACTCGGTGCACCATCAGGATCCATCTGGGTGAGCTGCTGCGCTGTTTCACCCTCCCCCTTACCTTCTATTGGAAGGGGGTAAATATCAGAAGGGGGTAGGTAGAAGGTAGTTAAAAGCGCTGCCAGGTGTTGGCATCAGATGTTGTTTTTTTGGGGTTCCATATGAAGCAGCACATCAAAGACTGCCTAGAGGCCTGTGAAGTTCAAATCTGGGGAGTGGGTTTGAACAGCATTCTCTCCTCACTTTACTTTTAGAGTGGCTTGTTGGCCACGGGCGGTTGGCGAACACTGCAGGAAAGTGGCCACTATTGTTCTAAAGGAATATGCTTTTGATGGCTGCTTTTTAAAAAATATACTTACTGACTCAATCAGTTGTATCAGAAATATCAAGGAAAAACATGCAGGGAACTAAGATCCATTCCATTCAGCCTAATTGCTTGTTTCCTTGAAGAAGACCATAAATATGGCCAGTGGATGTTTCATTCCCTTTGTTCCATCAGGCTTTTTGCGTGAGCAGAGATGCTGCCCTCTTGCCCTCTTCATCCACCACTCACTGTCATCATTAATCCCTCTCCCTCTATGGGCGTATTTGTTTCTCTGATTGCCCCAGAGACTCGATTTAATTGTCTAGAACTGTGTAAAGAGGCTCAGTTTTCTTGATCTCCTGCGTCGTCAACTCCAACTAGGGATAAGCCATATGACAATATGGTATAAAAAATAGTACAGTTTGGAGTTGACACTTGAAGATTCTCTTTCTAGCAGGTCTGACCTTTAAAAAATTACAGTTGTTGGTTTATGTAGTCATAATGAAATCATATTAAATAATATTTTGACTTGAATAACATGTTTTTTTTTTACTGTAATATTTAATTTTAAATGATATGATAATTCATAGTTTTTATTTCTCAAAAAATTAAATTAAATTAAATTAACAGTATTTTACAGAAGAATTCTCAAGATTACTAGAATTGCCAAAAATAAAAGTTTGTCACCATATATAACTTAAAAACCATATATAACTTGAACCTAACAATCCTCTCCATGTTGTAGCTCCAGAACCAGAGCGAATTAAGGGCTCCCACTGCAGAGAAGGCCGCCCTGTTTCTTGATGCCGCCATCGCAGCACGTAGCACCAACCGGCCAGATGCAGATGAGGAAGACCGCCGCAACTCCCACATGCTGTTCACCTTACACATCTACCAGTACCGCATGGAGAAGAGCGGCAAGGGTGGAAGTAAGTCTTGTGTTTGCACTGCGTGAAATGATACTGCTACATTGTTGAAGGCTCTGTGTGTGCTAAATCGATTATACTCAGTCTAGTCTAATTCCTTCTCCTCCTCATTTTCCCAGTGAAAGGGAAAATACATCTCAAGCTTATTAATGTAATAGCTGGGATATTACAGGCCAAATCAGAGAGCTACCAGAATCCCTTCAATTTGCCTCTCACTCCATCATGGTAGGAGGGAAATCAATCATGTCTGCTTTGACCACTTCATTAAACTTTAATGGGAATTTTAACAGATAGTAATAATTCATGAGCAGCTAACAGCTCTAATCATAGTATAGAGGTACCTGTCACTGTGCTATCGTGCTGCATATTTGCATAGGTAAATACAGTGTTGGACACCATCCCATAACAGTGAAATTGCCATGGAAGCTTCTTTAAATGGCTTCATCAAGCCTGCTGATTTTAACCCACTTTTAGAAAAAGAAAGAAAAAGAAAAACAGCAAATGGCAGACATATTTGCTATTCATTGCTATTCAGATATTCATTGTCCTTGCTAGTCATAGCTGAGGATATAATCATTGAAACAGTTCCACGTCAGTACAGCATCCAGATTAACACACAATTAACCTTTAGTTTCTATCAGCGGTCTGTTATATTCACAGGGCAAAGATGAGTAGATCACAGAGACTCACTTGTCTATATATTTAGAGCATAGTATGATCATAGGTGTTTATCTAGGCCAGCTTGTTCTGTCTTTGAATCATAACGGGCTGGGTAACTTACTCCTGACTAAATCACACACGGTCTTGTCAGCCGCAGGTCTTCTCTGGGGATGTTTATTAATATATCTGTTATTTGCCACTCCTTACTCTGCCCGACATTACTTCAGTGTGGGAGTGTCATCAGCGTCGTATAACCGCACTGGCAGCGTCTCAAACTTTCAGTGATATCGGTAATGAGTGGGGTTGACAGTGTATTTGTATCTTCCATTACAAGGATGGTTAAGCTGGAATTATCTGTACAGAATGAGATATTGCCCTCTCAAGTAATCATCTGTGCTGTGCTCATTTATTTTGTTCGGTCAAGTTTGCTTTGTCTACAACCATAATACTTTGGAATTAAACTTCGTAATGCAAGTAGTTTTATTTGCGACGAGCTTTGGGAATGAACTAATTGTCATTTACTCTTCTATTTGTTTTTGCTTATTAGCTTTTATCTCTCTAAATATGCATAAACGCTATTGTGTTTCCATGATTTTGTTATAATTAACATATAGAATGAATGTTAATGAATGTGAATTGCTAGATCAAAGCAGAGCTGATGTAAATTTAACTGAAATTCATTTTTATTTGTGGAAGGACAGTATGTTTGCACTGGTTGTAGTGTGGGACACCAGGGATCACCTCTCATTTTCTCTTTTTTTCTCCTCCATCAGTGTCTGGTGGTAGGAGCAGATTGCATCTGATTGACTTGGGAAGCTGTGAGAAGGTGCTTTGTAAGAGCAGGGACGCAGGAGGAGGTCTGTGTCTGTCTCTGACTGCGTTAGGAAACGTGATACTGGCTTTGGCCAATGGAGCTAAACATGTTCCATACAGGTAAGATAATGTAAATCAAAGATGTTAAAGAAATCAAAATGGGTCATGTTGCTTCAAATGTGTGGATATGGTTCTAGCATCTTTGATATAAAGATTTATAGTCAAATAACATTACTAGCATAAATAGAATTACATGATAATTCTGAATGTCTTCCTGAGGTCTTATGTGTTTTTATAGAGGATGTAATACTGAAGCATTTGAGCGCATAATGAACGATGTGAGCAACAAGCTTGAACCTGTGATCTTTGTGTTGACAGGTTTATTGTTTGACTAATGCATTGTTGTTTATCTGTATTTTGCTGAACTCATAGAACATGCACCTCTTTTTAAAAATGTAAAAACATTTTGTTGGGGTTGCATATGCCTTATTTCCCACCATTCTAAAACCTATTCACATTTGGCAGAATTGCAGTATAGACATATTTGTAGCTTTTTGTGATTAATACCATGGTAGGACTGTATAGTGAACCTTTTGACGGTTCTGCACTTTTATAGAACAGTTAATGGCCAGGCTTCCTCAGTACTTGAGTAAACAGCTGACTTTCTGCTGACAATCTATCAACCTGTGTTTATGCTGACAATGAAAATGTATTTTTCCAGGGATAGCAAGCTCACCATGTTACTGCGAGATTCCTTGGGGAACATCAACTGTAGGACAACCATGATTGCCCACATCTCTGACTCCCCTGCCAATTATGCAGAGTCTCTTACCACCATTCAGCTGGCCTCCCGAATCCATCGTATGAGAAAAAAGAAATCAAAGGTACATTTTTAACTGACTGCAATTTAGGAATTCTTATAATAATTGTATATTGTAGTTGGAGGATCAGTGTTGATTTTAATCCAATTAAAATCCAGCTTTAGACCAAATAAAATCAACTGTCTATGAATAACAACATAGAAATATGTTTAATGCATATTAACATCAACAATTATAATGAGATTGTAATTGAGTATCATAAGTTTTATGATAAAAAAATAGCAAACTTTAAAATAAATACATTAAAAAAGTCACTTGATGTATTGCCCTTGTGTTCATATTTTATTGACATGGTTACAACTATTTCCAGAGTTTTTTTTTTTTAAATGATACTTTGTCTTTGTCAAGTATGCATCCAGTTCCTCTGGAGGAGAGAGTTCCTGTGATGAAGGAAGGATTCGTCGACCACCACATTTGCGGCCCTTCCATCCTCGCACTGTGGCCCTTGACCCAGATCTACCATCATTCCTCAGTGATCCTGACTACTCTTCAAGTAGTGAGCAATCATGTGACACTGTAATTTATGTTGGCCCTGGTGGTGCTGCCATCTCTGATCGAGAGCTCAGCGACAATGAAGGACCCCCAGCCTTTGTTCCAATCATCCCCTCTCTTAACCGTAAGCAACGAGGGAAAGAAGGGCCAGTTGACTGTGATCACTTCAAATGTAACACCTTTGCTGAGCTTCAGGAGCGATTAGAATGTATCGATGGTAGTGAGGAACCTACAGACTTTGTTGGAGAATCTGGAGGAAATCCTGCAAGCCCTAAAATGGACCGTGATGCAACCAAGCTGAAAGAAGGCTCTGGCAGCATTTCAGTTTCTCCCAAGACTCCTACCAAAGCGCTCTTATCAACACAGGACAGCACATCCAAAAAGTCCATTACTGTAGCCAGTAAACTGCCTGGCAGTCCAAAACACAAATCCAAATTAGAACATTCCAAGTTGCAAAGTGCCATATCGGACAAAGATCTCAGAGACATGTCTGAGAGTAGGACAAGTGCAGATGGTGAAAAGGTGCAAATGTCAGATAATGGAACGCTCCTATGCACTCCAGGAAAACAAAGTAAACCAACAGTATCCCAAAACTCAGAGCCTGTGGTTAGGGAAAAGTTTTTTTTCAGTAAAAAGTTACCCAAGCCTGCTCCCCCACCACCACAACAAAAAGATTATGTCAGGGTCAGTAGTAGTGAAAGTGAAGAAAAGTCTGCAACAAGGATACCACCAATTGGGATGAGTCATCAAAAAAGAGGTGATTCAAATGAGAACTCACCGGTAAAAGTCCATCACCTTAATCCCAGGACTTCAGGGGAAATGAGGTCCAATCTTAGGGAAAGGTGCATGGAGAAGGACATATTAAGGACAACTGTAACCCTTAAACAGCCAGTGGAGCTAAATGGTGAGGATGAGCTTGTATTCACTCTTGTGGAAGAGTTATCAAGGCCCTCCAGTATTGTGAGTTTCAATAGTGATTGCTCACTACAGGCCCTTGCCTCGGGATCACGACCAGTAAGCATCATTAGCAGTATCAATGATGAATTTGATGCCTATACATGTAATGTTGGTACCTCAGAGGCAAACATTAAAGTGGTGGCACCATTACAGGAGAAAGCATGTACTTCACTTGGCAGCCGTGGTTCTTCTATCACTTCATGGCTTAGTGAAGTAAGTGTCTGTACTCTGGAGAGTGAAGGTGCCCAAACAGTAGATGTCTTTCTCCCTCAAGGTACTCATACCGGCCCAGACAGCAGCTTCTACCTTGATTCTCTTAGGATGTTCCAAAGCAGCCATCAAAAGGAACCTAAAAACTCTTTGAATGATAGTGGCTGTAGCTTCTCAGATTTGGACAGTGACAGTGCTATATCAGGCAAACTCTCTCTTAGCAAGTGCCCATCCTCTCCAGAGGCCCCACAACAGTCTGCCAAAAGTTTACCAAAACTGACAAAGGCAAATACCATTAATTTATCCGATCCCAAGTCTTTTCAAGATTCTCAAGTTGTCCAGTGTAGTCTTTCCAGGAAATTAAAACCTACCTCATCCACAGCCCAGAGTAGCAGTATCAGTGGAAGCAGCTCCAGTACCAACTGGAGGCGTGAGCCACCAAGGCAAGACTGCATACCAGATCCATGGCACCAAGTAGATAGCTCATTGGAGTCTTCTATAACCTTTAATTCAGGTTTGTCCAGACTGGTTAAAAATGGAATGAGTGGAATTCCTGCAAGAAAAGCAGGCACAAGCAGCAACAGTGGAACTCGATTGCCCAAAACACTAGGGTCAAACCCATCCCAAAGGGTGGTGGACGGATGTGAAAAATCCAGCAACAACAGGAAGATGGAGTCCCCAAGCAAGATGCCACAGCTCAGACGAGGCGCAACAACACTCGGGACAGTTCCAGTCATACATTCATCCATTGATGTCAAGCTTGCTCAAGATATTGGTACCTCAGGAGGAAGTTTAAAGTTCTCCTCTTTAGGAAAAAGTGGAAAGGCAAGCAAGCAGGAGGAGAGTATGTCAAAACCTGGCAATTTATCACCACCTCCTCCTCCAGTTCGCAAATCTAGTTTGGATCAAAAGAATCGAATCCTGTTTCCCTCAAGTGCCTTAAAGTCTGCTTATGAGGCAGGAAAGTCTTTAGCACCAAGAGCTACAGGTTTAGAGGATGATATTGATCTTAGCTCTAGAGGAGATTCAAATAGTTTAAGAACATCTAACTTAAAATCAGAGCATAGTTTGATAAAAGCAACCTCTAGTCTCAAAGCTAGAGGAGCTAGAGGTGATACAGGACAGCTTTATGGGAGCCAGATATCTCTAGACAGATGTGACAGTTTGTCATCTTTGGGGTCGAAACCTGCTCTTAGTCGAGAAAACAGTGGTGCTAGTCTCAACAGCAAGTCAAGCAAGTCTGTTGGTAGGTTTGGATCACCTGTTGCCACCTCTTCCCCAATTGCTACCTCTCCACCTTCTTGTATAAACCCAGTAACCACTGTAAAAAGTGGGATTGTCAAAGGCAGTCTTAACGCAAGACAAATACCTGTTAATGCAAATAAAGCTCGTACATTATCTGCAAGCAACTCCAAAGCCCTGAGCTCATCCACTAAATCTCTTGTGGCACCTGCAACAAGGAATGCCAACCTTCCACCTTCAGGAAAGACTGCATTACCTCGAGCAACAGTAGGAGGCAATGGTAAATCCACAAGAGGAACAATAATGGGTACCAAGCAAGCAATGCGGGCAGCAAACAGTCGTGTTAGTGAGTTGGCATTGGCCAATCCTTCTGGGAAACATGCAAAGGGCTCAGGTGATTCTGACAGTGGCAATGACAGTGGAGTGAACCTCAATGATGACCAGCATACCCCAATCCCCATTCTCCCATCCCCATATAGTAAGATCACAGCCCCCAGAAGACCTCAACGCTACAGCAGTGGCCACGGAAGTGATAACAGTAGTGTCTTAAGTGGAGAGTTGCCTCCTGCCATGGGACGAACTGCACTCTTCTACCACAGTGGAGGGAGCAGTGGATATGAGAGCATGATCCGTGATAGTGAAGCTACTGGTAGTGCTTCTTCAGCCCATGACTCCATGAGTGAGAGTGGGATGTCCTCCTCTGGTCGCACAAGAAGCTCCAAAACACCCAAGAAGAGGTCAAATGGTGAGTAGCATCTCTTGTTGTATATGAAGACCTGAAGTTTTTGATAGTCATATTGCTTTCGTAGTTTTTTTTTAATGGCCCTCAAACACTGAAGCCCACAAGGAACAGCTTTTTTCCCTGAGAACTACTCTAGACAAAAAGGTGACAAAAACAGGTGAAATTGTATTAGTTTTATTGTATAAATAATATATGCCTACTTGAGATGAATACAGCACAGGTAATGCTTATACCATGCATCTGCACATCACATGCAATTTAGTCAGGAGATTTTGATATGAATCTCCATCCAGTCTACATCCTCGTACACATACAAATAACTAGCACAGCTTAGAATTTTCCTATTCCTCAATATATTTTTGCTTGCTTGCTATTTCTTTACCAATCCATGCAATGTTTCTCTGCGCTAATTACTTTTCTATCTCACATATTTCCTTTGTCTCTCCATGGAGCAGGCCTCCAGAGGAGGCGTCTCATCCCAGCTCCCTTACCGGACACCTCCTCCCTGGGGAAGTCTGGGACCACGGGTCAGTGGGTGGACCTTCCCCCTATGTCCGGGCCACTGAAAGAGCCTTTTGAGATCAAAGTGTATGAAATTGATGACGTGGAGAGGCTTCAGCGGCGAAGACAAGAAAAGACAGATGAGGTTAGAATGGGTTATCTGGGTGTTTTTTTGGAAACTGAGATCCGGTTCAGTGCATTCATATTTAACCTTAGTCCATTCTCATGGGAATGTAAAACATGTCATATATGCTTGCTTATGCATCATACATAGGAAAGTTGCAATATGTCATGAATAATACATAGATGAATAACTATCTATAACTATGTTTGCACAGTGCATAGCTGAGATGTCAGAGACCAATTTTGTCCATAACTACCTTCCCGAAGATTTCCTTTGATCTAGGTTGAGATATATTTTCGTATATAAAGAGCAATATTATTGGCTCAGCAATATTCTTCATGTATTATATTCAAACTCTGGACACTGAGTGAAGGTTTTGGCCCTTTGCTTCTTATTTAAAAGTATTAAGATAATGTACAGCGTAGGGCATTAACCTGCCAGTAATAGGGAATGAGAAAAACAGTTGTTTCTTTGGAAAAGGAAAAATGGTTACATTTGAAATACTAGAGTGATGAGAAACAATTAACTCTCTGGAATTAATTGGTTTGGGCAGGAGCAAGCAAGCATAACAGCAAGCAAGAAAGGGTGTAAAACTTTTGAAGTAAAATGATGCAGTTAAAAGAATGTTATATTTTCTCTCATTAAATCAGCAGGGTAATGTTCTCACATAAATCCAAGAAGATAATCTTCAATTTGTCTGTCAGTGTTTTTAAGACCAATTGGTATTGCATTGGACAAGATTTACATCTAAGCATGTGTCTTCTATAGTGTTATGCTATAGCATTATAGCATGCACAGGAGTATTTATCCAGGCATAGGGATATTATAGTATTATTGAATAATAGGAGTGCATATACAGTAGACTGTAGTATTTTACAAATACAAGCTTTTCTAAAGCTCCAGGATTTTATAAATGCATCTATAACAGTTTACTGGTATATTAAAAGTGATCGTGTTAATATATAATTTAATAATTGTAGATTTTTTTAATAACACAGCTATATCATATTTATATAATAATTATTCATTCCAAATTCAACATTGCTGTTTTTAAGTCACGTATTTGTATGGTGGGAAATTGTCTTAAACCACAATTAAGCCTTAAGAATTTGAAGAAAGCAATGGCTACATGAAAACCAAAGAATATCAGTGATCTGAAAGCTTTTCCAGGTGAGGAATGGGCCAAGATTGCAGGAGAGAGGTGACAGAAGCTTCTAAGCACTTATAGGCATAATTTATTGGAGGTTATAAAGAATAAAAGATCTTGCACCAAATTTGACTCTTGGGGGTTGAATAATTTTGAACATGAATGTTTAGAGGCAACTTTGCATTCTCAAAATCTCTCAAATATGTATTCATAAACTCTCTCCAAGAGTTTACTGATACCTTTGTTGAATTACTTATATATATATATTTCTTGACAGCAAAATGTCTTGCAGGTGAAGGGGTTGCATAGTTTTGATTGCAACTGTATGTTGTGTATCCCCACTTCTTAGTATAGACATTATTTTCCTCTTTATTTCAACAGTCAGTTCAGGATGTTGAGAAGTTATGTTGATTAACTGGCATGGATGTAGCTCAATTGCATAAATGAACCACAATGTAACACAAGGAAGCTTTTATTCTTCCATTCAATGCCTGGAAAATATCACAGTATTATTATAGTCCTGTAACACATTCTTCCTTTGTGCAGAAAATGTCACAGTCAGTAAGTAATTTTAAGGAACCAGCATTGTACCACATTTTTTTTCTTCTAGTCAATCCAGATAAGCCCAAAATTAGTTCGTTTATGAAACTGTCATTTTAAAAATTATGTCAATCTTCTGTCCACAGGGCCTGATGTATTTTAACACTAAATTAAAGGTTCTTGAGAAACAGCAGCAGCAAATCAGAGATCTCAAAGCCAAGCATAAGACTCTGAAAGAAGAGCTGGAGGACACAAAGTCTAGATTAATGATGGATCCCAGCAAGTGGATTGGAGAGTGTAAGTATTATATATTTAGTGCTTGTAGTGCTTGTTGACAGTGGTGAAAGTTCATGCTAAATGCTTCCAGTCCCTTTCTTTGTAATAACTCTGTTCTGTTCTGTTTTGTAGTTGAGGTGGATGAAGGTTTGGATCAGGAGTCGCAAGAGTACTTGGAGGCATTGGAGCAGGCTACGGCTGAACTGGAATACTGCGTCAACCTATGCAAGTCCCGTGTCATGATGGTGACCTGCTTTGACATCCGAGTAGCATCTGATGTGCAGGAATGACCGTGAGAAGTGGAGGTTTAAGAACAGAATGTGGTGATCGATGGACAGTGACAAAGAAATGGAGGAAGACAGGACCTTGGATGTCTGAAAGGAAAGATAATGAAATGTAGCAGCCGGTCCGGCGATTCTGAGGAAACACAAATGGATCAAAGAATGATCTTTATAATAGGATGGCACACTGAATTCTGCATAAAGTAGGAACTTATCTTCTGGAGAAGAGAAAACTGTTCTGGTTATATGCAGTGCCTCATAACAAACATGGAATAGACTTGCTCAAATGGAAAGCCAACAAGCTTTGATGTGTTTGACGCATTTCCTTACACAAGGAAAGATAAGAATCATTCTCACTTACCGAAGAGTTATTCAACCACACCACAAAGTGCCTTTTTCATATGACTGTTTTGTACATTTGTTGTCAATCATTATTTTTTCTACTGGTGCTAGTGCTATGACCAGCATACCCAAGCCGAACCATATTTTTTCTGTTGTTTTATTGCATTATATAGTGTATTTATATGATCATACAGTGTGTGAAATATCATTTTGGGTGCGAAAGGAGAGCAATAAGCTGACTTTCCGTGCTTTGCCTTTGCCTCCTGAACTATCACCTCTGTCAGCATATTGATATTAAACCTTTTGAGCCTTATGTTGTATTTGTAGTTTTCTGTCTGAGTGTTTTTTCTACTTTTCAAATCAAATATCTGTCTTTTTAAGGAACACGGTATCACAGCAATGGACAGTCATATGTGATGCAAGACAGTTTTAATAAACTTGTTTGGTTTGGTTGCCTTGACTCTTCCAGTCGTACTAAAGATGGATACATATCTGACTTAAACATGTTTATTTCCCAGAGAATCATATAGGTGATTTGAATTGGTACTACGTTTGCTTAGCCATGTTGAATGTAAGTTAAAACATTTGAATGAACAACACAAAAAATCCCCAAGAATGTAAAATCTCAAGCATTGTTATTTGTTCTTATCACATAAATACATGCAAGTCAGTGTCATTGTTATGCTCGCGATGGATGCGTGTTGCTAGAGAGGCGTGATCTATTAAAATGCAGATTGGCCTCTTGTTCTTGTTTACTTTAAATAGACACTTTGGCAAAGGGCATTCATCAGTGTAACCTGACATGTCTAGCTCAGCCTTTCTCTGTGGACACAGAGTGTGTTGCATTTAAAGAGCTGTGGGTGTGATTAAAGAGGGGTGAGGTGACATTTGTGCGGTACAGGAAGGACTCTTTTCCATACCCATTCAGACAACAGCGTCTTAAAAGTAACCATAAAAATATCTGATGAGATTTTAAACACTGTGGCTTGCTCAATGGCATATTTGATACTATTAATACACACTTTTCATAGACTAAGGGAACATTGATTCTGACATTAAAATCTTGACAGTCCATGTACCCCAAATAGTATTACGGTCCAGTCCATGACGCATTGCAGGTTTTTTTTAACTCCACTGTGGATGTCTATCCAAGCCTTAGTCCTATGCATCCATGCAATCATGGTCTTAAACAAACAACCTCAGAAAATGCAACAGGAAGCATTTAGCACAAATGACCGTCTCATAGGCTAGCCTTTACAGGACATACTGTATAAACAGTGTTTTTCAGCACTCAATGTGCTGTTTAATAACAGCTGTAAAAGACCACCTGCTTTTCTCTGATGCCATCACAGAAATTTGCTGGTGAAAGTGATTCAGTGTTTTAACATGTAGCTGCCAGAATGACTTTCCTGTTACTTGTCTGTCAAAGGCTGTGAATGAACTTTAGATCTCATTCGACATTGACATTAAGTAATTCAAAACCTTCTTGGATTTATTTACCTTTATAAACACACTCTCAGGCCCTTTTTCAGGATGCTGCATGAGATTTGTATTTTTTTCTAGGCTTTATTCTTCATCTTTGAATTTTGTAATGATTATGCTGGCATTCACTATACTTTAAGTACATGGAATTGACTGACACCAAACTGAAACTTTTTTTTGAACGAAAGCTGACAATGTATGTTGCGTCATGTTTCATATCAAATCATATTTTCTAACTTTTTTGGTTTTGTAAAGACTTTTCGGACCCTCTGTATAAATGTATTATATGGCAGCTTGGGATAACACTGTTTTCTTGTGAATAAAAATGTCCTTATACGTCTTGGTCTGTCCAATTTTTCCTAGATATTTCATTAATATTTATTTCATTATTTAGATGTGTTTCATAAGAAAGGGGTTGGTAACAGGCTAATTTGTGTTTTCTGAAGAACATTTTCTGAAGAAAACTCTTCAAAACATGCAAATTCTAGGGTGTTGTGGGTTAGCATTAGCATTAATAGTCATAAAATCTGCAAACATCAGTAATATTAATATGAAAATTATGTATGATATATTAATTTAAAATATTATTTAAAAAGATTTGATCGCAGTCTTTTTAGCGAGGTCCATTGTTTAGCTATCAGGTTTGTATTCTCACCAGTAATTGGACACAATATTGTGTCACATTGCAAAACAGCGTGACTGTCACACTTTCTAAAACGACCAGTGCACATTTTGGTGTCTGAGTATGTTTAATATAATTGTCATGTCAGCAAAGCATCCCTGTTTTGTTTGTAAATAAAGAACACTTGTGTTATTGAAAATGCCTTTCAAATATGGTAAATGTCAAGGACAAACATATGGCTAAAAACGTGATCATAAACTAGTTTCGTTTCTTTATAATATATCTGCCAGAACTTGTTTAGTTCCATTT